CCCCTAGCGCCTTGAAAAGTGGTTGTAAGTAATTTTTAAGGTCAGAAATGGAAAGTACGCAAAAAATGCATAAGAAAACATGTAATGGGTGACATCAAAACGAAGATTTGGCGAGGAACAGCCGCGGAAAGAGCGCACGCCAGCCGCTCAACTCCCCCACTTTACCCCCCTGTATCTCCGAAACCGCTTTTTAACTCAAGCTGAAATTTTTACCTGAGACTTGGGGCATTATATGCAACAATTTGGCGCAAGTCCCGTTTGCAAAATCGAGGGCCTAAAAAGGGGCGAATTTTGACCCATTTTTAACAAGGCTCTTTCCTGATATTCCAGATTATATTTCGAGAAAACAAGTCTGAAAATTTATAGGAAAAATATATAAAATTTTCCCACTGAATTCGCTTTTTATCGAAAGAAATATGGCAACGTCTGAGGCGTCATACGGCGTTTTTCCTCACGACGGTGTTATAGGATTCCCTGTCTCCGTTAAAGTAACTTCACACTTATAGTGGGGCCGATAAGTGGAAAATATCATAAGAATCGTGCACTTCTGGAAGAAAGCATGAAAATTTCAGGGATTCATCTCTACCCTATAGACATTCGATTTAGACATAGACCCAAAAAATCTGAGCCCCCTGGGGGAGGCAGGGGGGCCCCCAAATTTTGAGTTCTGAATAACTACGGAACGGCTAATGTTAGCGTAATTTTTTTACAACAGAACGATGGGAAATTTTATTAGGAACAAAACTGGTTCTTATGAATTTTTCCGTGGGATCGATATTTTAGGCGTGAAAACTGGAAAAACCATCGGGGGACGGGGAGCCGGCCGTTCTGAGGCAGACCCGTGCGCTGCGCTGCCTGCCCGGGACGCGCGCGGCGGCGCGGTACGGTGTTACCGACGAAACAACCGCTTGTCTTTGTTTAGTCTCAACGATGCGCAGTTTTAAAAATATCATAAATTTACCGTACTGCCTAAATACTTTTCCGGAGTAATATAAGCCTTACTTTATATTAGTAATAAATAAAAGCAAGCAAAAGGCGAAAGACTCCAATGTGAGAGCGCCGAGTCAATAGGAGGGGTCGCCGTCGGTCATCGCGACATCGCGCATCACGTGTTCTTGTTTTCCATGAATACAGAGCTTTTCCGACCTCAGTACAAAGTAAATTACCCTTTCCTTACGTAATTTTTGTAAAGGATTACATTTTTTAAGATATTAGAGCGAAATAAGATTTAAGTAGATAAAGATTTTAATAGATTTTGACCCACTTTTTCATGACTACTGGAAATGGAATCCTTGATAAGTTATTTCTAGCTTATTTTTCATGTTACTTTCGGCGAATGGGACCATGAGCTGCTTACATAAGCAATAATTCTTCTTCCCTTGCCACTAAGGTGCCCAGATTTCCTTCCTTTTCCTCTAATATCGTTTTTCGTTCATGTTAATTGGTTTCTCGCAATTGCATAGGTACTGATACATACGGAACATTCCGACAGTGTTCTTTTCTCCTCTTTTTTACTCCAGCCAGTCAACAGACGTATTCATTTTCATGAACTTCCCACTCTTTCAGATATTCTACAAATATGCATATTTCACAAAATAGAACGATATATCAAATGAATAATAAAAAAGAAGATATCTGAATACTATCGCTTCTTTTTATCGAGTCACACTTGAAGATTATTATTGGTATACTAACCACAAGACATAAAAAATGGAATGAGCAGTAAAAGAAATCCATGTATATTATCTTTTATTTTGTTGTATGAAGTTTGGAGTGGAGTTGGTAACATTTGTATTGAAGAAAATATTAATATGGGAGGAAATTTATTTATCATATGCAGGTTCTGATCCTTTAAAGAACCTCTGAGAAGGACCAGTACCTCAGGAAGAAATTCATTGCATTTCTTCTTTTTTAACCCGCAAATCTCGTACCAATTTTTTATTTGTATAGAGCTCGTGAAAGAGTACTAGGTATGTCGGAGACAATTTTCAAGAAACGGGACTGCGAAATATGTGATGCACAAAACGCACACCTTAAACTTTATCACACAGTATAACACTGATCAAATTAGCTTCAGAGATTATCAGAGGGTTAATTTCTTGTCAAAATATCAACAAATCAGTCAAAATCAGTAATCGGTAATCAGTTGCAAAATTACCGAGATTCAGGGAAATCGTGTGATGCGAGATTTTATTGATGACATAAGAGCAGGATATGTTCCCAGTAGGCGCGACTTCACATCACTCAAACCCTGGGGTTTTTGCAGATTAGCGGATATTGGCGGCTAATTAATACTTAATAATATTCCTTATTCTTATACAAGAAGCAGTCCAACAAAGGTTTTTGGGGGTTTTTTTTATCCCTATCAAGCTCTCTCAAGATTCTTTTGGCGTTTCTTGGAGCAAGTTTTGAATGTGGTTTTGGTCCTCTTGAAAAAATGCCTATACGTAGCAATGATGTACCAAAATGTTCCTTCAAGAGAAGAGAATAAGCATGCTTGTTTTTTACTCATCTTTTTACAAAATTAGGTTTCCTGTCTTGAAAGTCTGGCTAGAAGCCGTCTCCCGGGAACTTTAGGGTTGGAAAGCATATTTAGATACCATCCTGGTACAAACACTTTAAAATCATTTTTCAGGTCATCGTGGTATACAAATAAGATGTGTGACTTTTAGCCCCCCCCCCCTTCCCGAGACAACTGTACGTCAGATTTTATTCCGTTCAACTGATGACTGATACAGTTATCTTGGATGCTTTAATACTTGAACTTGACAAATCCATACAACAAAACAATCCAAAACTCCAGCACCTAACCCCTTCTCCTTCCGTTGCCGCCCGCTCGCTTGTATACATACATATATTACCTGCAAAAGTTAAGCCTTTTTTAAGGCTCCATAGGTAGTGAGATATATTCATAATATTTTTAAAACTGCGCATCGTTGAAATTAAACAAAGACAAGCGGTTGTTTCGTCGGTAACACCGTACCGCGCCGCCGCGCGCGTCCCGGGCAGGCAGCGCAGCGCGCGGATCTGCCTCAGAACGGCCGGCTCCCCGTCCCCCGATGGTTTTTCCCGTTTTCACGCCTAAAATATCGATCCCACGGAAAAATT